CGATAACGTTTTAAATAATATGGGAAAATAAATAAAAAATTAATCTCCAAATTGGCTATTTATTTTATATAGAAACTAAATATGTCGCCAAATCTGCCCTGTTCTTGTTATCTTTTTTGTAATTAGTACAGTATGATCCTGTTATCCGCCATAAACTGTCCACTGCTGGACATGGGCTTCCCTCGTAAGGGAGGTTTTGCCAGTAGTTGCCACGCTTGGCAGATTGTTTGGAAATCACAATTAAAATTTTATGATGTTTTTTTTAAGCGCGCTGCTGCCTATCTATCCAGCATTAAGTCGCCTTAATCGTCTCTTACGTCACCCAACGGAAACCCCATTCTATGCCGGGACCACACAGTTTTCATGTTGCTTCTATATTAAGTTCGTACTGATCGAATTTACCAATTTTCAGAAGTAAGAAAAAATCCTGATTATTATGTTAGAAATCAAATCTTATAGACACACAATACCTCATTTTAAATTCGAATTGTGGGCGTATTTAAATAAGGGGCCGGATGGGCCCGTGCCCACCCCAGAATAGTCTAATGCCCACCCTAGGACACGACCAATTTCGGAAAGACATTCTTGGAAAATAATGTTAAATATATCGTCATCGATCAAAGCTTTTAGTTATTTAAAAATAAAAATTGTGAGCTTACTAACGACTGATGGCGTTTTTTGCGAAGCAAAATCGACTTGTTACTTATTTTACGATACAAAAAACCGTAGCTAGTAACTGTGACGTAAAAAAGTAGTGGTTGTATAAAAAATGATATTGTACAGATAAATACGTTCATTCGATGTACTCACGGTGTGAGCACATCGACTAGCATAGAATAGGCTACCCCTTCCTTTCGTAAGAGCCGACTAAAGAAGAGCGAGAGATAGGCAACACTATCCCTCTTAAAACATCTCCAAAGCCCAACTGCGGTTGGCAACCCGCCTGCCAAGCGTGGCAACTACAGGCAAAGTCCTGTAATAAGTTAGACGCGTTATAAGTGATACTGCTACTTCTTTGCTAGTATTTCTTTCGTTTCTATTGTTACTCTAAAATATATATATATATATATATATATATATATATATATATATATATATATATATATTTACAATATTAAAGATTCTGTGTATTTCATTATATAATAAGGTACTTTATTATTTAAAATGGGGCAATACAAAATTAGTTGCTATGTTGTTATAAAAAATATTTATCGACTTCAAAACCCTCTTTGTAATCTCTTCAAGAATTTCACCTGTAGTTGTTATTATTTATATTGGTAACATCACGATCGCCCAACTGATTTAACTATGTAATCTAAATAATTGTAATACATAATATGTATTTATTGTATGTGTATATTTATTTAATATATTATGTGTATGTTTATATTATCTGAATTTATCAAGTATTGCTTTATTTTCCCTCTATTCAATGATGCACCGCCTACGTATTTCTCTGTTTGCCTAATGGTTGACTGGTAGAGAGCACCGTCCGGTGTTAAGTGCCGCCAAATGTACATAGAATTTTACTGTGCATTTAAGTTTAAATAAATAAATAAACAATATGTATGTAATTCGAATATGTAAGTAAAACTGATATAAATCATAAATTCAATATGACTCGCACCAGATTGCCTACTGTTGTTTTTGTCGATTCCCAAAACATTTTTCAGTGGAGTTCCGCCACCTGTTCAAATCCACGTCTATGCTAATAAATCCCCAAAAGAATAACTTTAATGAAACCATTGATATAAATACAAACAATAAATTTGAAAACAATATAATCTATTTCTGTCCAGTTAACTCGTTGTCACGTTGTGGGAGCGAGGTGGTCGCTGTACCTGCCCGCCCTTGGTCACTGCGCGCCCTAGGCTCTCGCGTCTAGCCACGTGACGCCGGTCTCGATTACTCCAAATCTGTTCCATATCTGTTGCTATTTGTTCTAATTGAAATAAAACGTCCGTTTCGAATTTTTTTTTTCCATCAAACAATAAGAGTATCAATTTTATATATTAATAACCTTCTTATAATACGATTGCCACTTTTCATTACCAGGTCAACCTACTCTTCAATCTTGTATCGGCATCGATAAGTATAGGCATGTTTAAGCGTCGTCTAAAGGAGCATTACTTATCACTATGCTGACGTATTATGTATATGTGTATGTATGTTTGTATATATATATATATATATATATATATATATATATATATATATATATATATATATGTGTGTATGTTTATAGGGTTTATGTATTTTATGTAATTTATAATAAAAGTGTAGTTTGTATTATTCTTCGTGTATCTTATGTGTTAATACAATGTATGCAGATCGTATGACAGCCTATTTTTATTTTTAAAATAACATACAATTTACATGAAAAGGTTTTGCTGGAAGAAATCCCTTATTAGAGATAAGCTCGCCTTTGTACATTATATTTCAAATGAACTGTGGTTAACATTATATTTTGTATACAATAAAGAATATAGAATCCAATTTTTTGCCAATTATTAGAAAACAATTTTGTACTGCACTCATGAAAGAATTAGGAATTAAGGGATCGAAATAGTTTGCATAGGCAAGGTACACTCGTCCTCATCCTTTCAGCCGTTAACTGTCCACTGCTGAACTTAGGTCTCACCCATAGATTGCCATAAGGAACGGTCTCGAGTCACCTGCATCCACTGACACCCTGCAATGCGCTTGAGACCGTCGCTTCATCTAGGACTGTCCTACTCTACCTATACTTGATTGCCAAACGAGAACCTTTCTTCCCCATCGGTTGTCTATTCTTCGAGCTATCTCACCAGCCCATTGCCATATCAGTCTACATACAGTACAGTCACTTCAATTTATTATAAATATTTGTCTGTGAATTAATAAATGTACATCTAAGTTTTTTTTTAATGGATGAAAATAGAATGGTAACCCCGCCTGCGCTATCGGTATACGCTGGCGGGGCACCAGTGAGAGGTGATAGGTGAGGATGAACATAAGTCAATTAGCCCATCTATGAGAGTTAACCACGATGGTTTCCAGGGGGAACCGCGAGGAGGTCGACCTGATGACGGTACATTGCTAGCTGTACATCTAAGTTATAGTCTGTTAGTAAGGGGATTTGTATAAATTTGTATAGAATCTTCCAACACTAAATTCTAAAAGGAATCATTGCATGCCAATGTATATTCGGAATTGGCTAAACTATTACCTAACCTAAAAAATGCAATCAGCTTAGAACCTCCAGTAATACGTTCTGTTACTTTAAAGTCAACGTTATCGCATTGATGCTTTACCCCTTTTAGCGATATTAGCCTCATTTTAAAATTTTTAAAAAATATACCTTATGTAGATTAGTATAAATTTTAAAATGGCTAATCGAATTCATTCTTAGGTTAGGTATATAGTAAAACGCGTTCTTAACTTGACGAGCTGTTTTTTCAACATTAGAACTAATTGTTGAATGAAATCGTGTTCGAATCGCCTTACACTCGTGACGTTAGATATGCATATCAGGTTTTATTTATAACCAACTGTATTTTTATATTTTTATTTTATGTCAGAAATAGATAAGATAGTTATGTTTTTCTAAGCAAGTTTTACATAATTCTGTACAACTTATTCGTCATTGTATCAAAATTTTTCCAATAGATATTAATGGAATGGTAACCCCGCTTGCGTTAACGGTATACGCTGGCGGGGCACCAGTGAGGCATGTTAGGATAGGTGAGAACGAAAAGGCAGGTCAGTTAGCCCGTCGTGACGAATACACCTGGAATTCAGCACGATGGCTTCCAGGAGAAACCGCGTGAAGGTCGACCCGACAGGGTATACTCGTATTGCTAGCAATGGGACTGATAGTCCGCACCACTAACAACCCCTTCCATCCTCGTCTTTGTATCAGTCGTTAAATATCCACTGCTGAACATAGGCCTCACTCATAAGGGAGGTTTTACCAACAGTTGCCACGTTTGGCAAGCGAGTTAGATTTTTACGATGTTTTAAGAGGGACTCTGCTGCCCGTATCTTGATCATAAGTAACCCTTATTCGCCTCTTATGACACCAACAGGACAAGAAGGGATGGCCCATTCTATGGCTATCACCACCTTATTGCTCTCGAACAAAAACATGAGATCCATCGATACTACATTGATAGATGACGTCTATACACATGCAACTTTGTGTGTGTATCTAAAATTGCAGTTCATTTGATTTTCCAGCGATTACATCCAAATTGCAAAGAGGGTAAGGTCGTCTCGAGAGTGGGGCAGGGATATACTGCGGCAACCTACTGATATAACTGACGTAGTAATTTATTGGAATACTAGCTAGCCTATGTCCAGCTAGCTCTTCGCTCTCTACTCCATACGCGTGGATTGCAAAAGGAACAAAATTACCGGAATAAAACTCTTCTAGATAGCGTGTTAAGATAAATCTTACATCAAATTTTAAATTAGACCTTCAAGTACACAACTGTGATCCAATTTGGTGCAGCAGTTTTCGTATGATGCTGGAACAAACGTACAGACAGACAATATTTCAGAAAAATATTGTTTTAGCTTCTATTTCTCTTCTCTTTCTAATTTCTCTTACCAGCTTACTTATTTCATTTACTCAATTACTATTTTGTGTTTTTCATTTATATGCAATTGCGAAACGAAAGTCAGGAGTTTGTTCTTTGTCCGTATGTATTAAACGCTCAGCGAACTGTGTATTCTTTACTCGTGACAATATTTCATACGATCCTATAGTATGTTTGCGCGTAAGTCACGTCTATCTCAGGATAATACTGACAACAACAGTGCCGGGCAAATGCTTACATGCCGTGTGCACGGGGCCACAGTGCCGCGCTTGTACGATATGCGAGTCCTGCTTCACGTTCTGGGCAAGGCCGCATAGAAGCTGGCTGGCGCCGTTGCGTTGTGTCAGTGTTAGCCTGCGCGGGCGCACGCGCGTGCCGCAGCCGGCCCGCAGTCACGGCATCATGCCCTTCTTGTTGCAGGCAAGTCGGTGAACAGTAAAGACGCACTCGAGGACAAGAAAGATGACAATGAGCTGTGGGACGCGCAGGCCGCCTTCCTCGGCCCAAACCTCTGGGAGAAGACGCTGCCCTACGACCCTGATCTCAAGGTACAAGAAGTCAGTAATCGCCACTTTATTACCTACTGCGTGTTGAGTGTCGTGTGCGTCTCTCACCGGCTTCCTAACCGCTGCCACCCGCACTAGGTAATAGAGTTGCTTTCGCGTTCCCACCCATCGTCCTCGCAATCCATTCGTCGCTTACCCCACCATCATGTCCTGTGTTAGTATTATATTGTAGTTAAGTTTAGATTAGACTTAAATTTTGCGAGCGAACTGCCACTGCGACTGTTACCATGATATCTTGCTGTGCATGTACCATTTACTGTCTGTACCGTCACACGCACTAATGTTCTGTTATCGCAAAGCATAAGCGTGTGCTGTACATGCGTGGTGCGGGTCGCGCCCGCGGACGGCGGACGGCGGGCGGCGTGTGACTTTGTCCTTTGTTGGTTTGCAGTACGTGGACCTAGATGAGTTCCTGTCGGAGAATGGCATGCCGGGCGAGGGGCTGGGTGGCGCGCACCTCGGCGGCTCGGCGTTCGGGCCCGGCGCGGGGCTCGCGCTCGGCCTCCAGGCGCCGGTCACCAAACGCGAGCGGTCGCCCTCCCCCTCCGACTGCATGAGCCCAGACACCATCAACCCTCCGCTCTCGCCCGCAGACTCCAGTAAGTATTCACTCCATTAAACTGTCACAATTCGTTACTATTACACGTTTACAAGAATTGATTAAATTACAAAATCATTGACTTGACATGGAAATTCAGAAGTATACCAATGATAAGCTGATATGACGTTACAGCATTTTCAATGGCGTCGTCGGGGCGTGACTTTGATCCCCGGACGCGTGCTTTCTCCGATGAGGAGCTGAAGCCGCAGCCGATGATCAAGAAGTCCCGGAAACAGGTAAATGAAGTTAGTGCGCTGATCATTCCTAGCGGCATGATGCGACTGCCTGCGGGGAGCGGCGATGTTCGCACATACACACACACACACACACCTCCACACACTAACTAGAGCCACAGATATGGATTTAAATAGATGTCGCAACTGCATGTGATTAACATATTGTTTTTTTTTTTTGCTCAAGACATTTGAACTCCAGCTCAAGTTCTATTAGGAGTTCCTACAGAGGACAAGGACATTTTAAAAAATTATTAAAAACAGTCTTAAGAATAGTGTTTTCGAAAAGCTTTGATACTGATGGGAATTTGCTAACACTAAACCGCTTATGTAACATCACAGCATGGAAATATAGAGGTGGCATGCTTAGTTCTCATATAGTTTCAAACATTTGCGTCGTCTATCTTTATCTGTGTCTATCGTTAGTAGAATCACACATACATAAAATGATGACCACATCAGCATTTTCTCCAGTCACTTTCTATTTAACGAGTTTCTGGGATTTCATAGTTTTGCTTAGTTTATTAAAAAAAAGTAATAGAATCTGCAATCTCACGTGTTCCATCGCTTGACCGTCTGAGATTATTTTTCTCTCACGTTTTTCCTGTTATCTCTAGAGTTTTTTTTTTTTTAATTAATCCATTGACATATTGCAAGCGGATCGTCTTTACATGCTGAGAGAAACAATAATCTTATTATTGGATTCGTTATAAATTATCAACAAATTTTGTCACGTTTTTTTCGAGACAATTCGGTACTTGGTTTGGTTGTCTTCTGATTTTAAAAAATAAATATAACTTTTCATAGAATAATGAAATATGACAGTCGTATAAATGAATGAGTATACTTTATTTGCATTATACAATATAAGGAATAAGCAAGACAATTAATAAATTTAACGATATAAAGTAATCAATCTAAAATAACAAGCAATCTTTAAACAAATACTCGACAAACGGTACATGCAACCTTATCTCTTGAAAATAAAGTTTCTATTCGCATCTATCTGGCTTTGCTTGTTTCCATTGAATAGTACTAAATAAATAAATAAATAGTAGTAAACTTAAGGCGTACAATACTAATCCTAATTCAACTATATGTAGTTTAATTCGATGTGTTTGAAAATAAACTCGTACGGAGTCAGGGCCGGTGAATAAAAAAAGAAAACAATGTGAAATAGTGTAATGTTTTATTAATTAATTTTTTTCTCTCTTTACGTACTTTATTTATTAGTATCGACGCAATAAAGTCTGATTTATAAAACACTTCTAACTCGTAAACTGAATAGCATACACTGTACTGGAGTGGACCAAATTCTCATATTGTAAATGTTGGAAACTCAGCATTTGCACGACTTCCAACTCGCCTTTGTCTTTGCTTATTTGGCATAGAGTATAAATTTGTTTACAGAATAATAATAACAAGCTCTTAAGCGCTAAAAGCAATCTCTTACGGACAACCAGAATTTACTATGCATAAAGACTCAGTGAAATAAAAAATAAAATAAATTTAAATACCAATGTGACTAAAGCTCGTGCTGCTTGGTTATGTTAGTCGATATAGGGAAACAACAAATTTATTCTTATACGACTGTCCAAAAGAGTAGTATAATCAACATTTCAATCTGTAACTGTCCACTGTTGAACATAAGTATCCCCCTTGGGGGGGTTTTCTCAGTAGTTGCCACGTTTGACAGGCGGATTGCCAACCGCACTTAGGCTTTGGATATGTTTTAAAAGGGACGCTGCTGACCATCCCTTGTCCTCCTTTAGTCGCCTCTTACGACACCCAGTAACGGCTACGGTAACCACTTACCATCAGGTGGGTCATATGCTTGTTTGCCACCTCAGTGGTATAAAAAAATACCCATGGGGAAAAAAGGGGTGGCCTATTCAATGCTGAGACTACATGGCTAAAAAGAGGAGTATATTGGTGCTTTATTGTTCCATAACTTTTAAATGCTTGAACAGATTCGTTAGAAGCCTTACATTGTATCGAATGACTATTTTTTTTTTAAATAATTCGTTTTACGGCAGTACAGTCGTGTTTTTTTTTTAATTTACTAAGCCAAATGTTCTTCTACTGAATCAAGTACCATTTTGTGAAAATCTATATTATTGTTCGCTTCAACAATTTGGACAAAGTCCAAAATATAGGAAAGTTTATGGTTAATCGTTCTATACAAGAAAGTTTACTCCACACGTGATGCTACGTCATCAAGCTTCTAACGCATTTAGAGCGCTTCCATTTTTGGCTTTTTCATTTCCCAAATTTTGTCGAACTGAAAGCACAAGGTGAACGAAATATTGGTTTTTCAAATAAAAACTGGATGAATTCTAAATTGTTAGTTCCCTTGAAGTATTTTATCGGAGAAACGGATTATATTTTCTAAAGAAACATATTTCGAAAAGTGACGAAAAATCTTCTGTGTTCTATACCAAGTTAGTGGCTAGAAGCGTAATATTAGCGTACGAGGTTCACAATTTCATCATCATCATCTTCCTACCCTTATCCCAACTATCATTTGGGGTCGGCGTAATATGTTTTCCTCTTCCATTCTTTTCTATTCCCAGTCATTTCCGCATTCACTCCTATTCTGGACATATCGTCCCTCACACAATCCATCCATGTCTTTTTAGGTCTTCCTCTCCTCTTATAGCCATCTACTTTCATTCTTAATACTTTTTGCACCTGCGCGTCGCCTCTGGGGTACGCCCTAGCCTAGGTTCACAATTTCATGTCATTTCTTAATCCATACTCAGTTTAGTTTTACTGGTAGAGCACTCCCAAAACAGAGTTTGTTATGTGACTGGATGTATATCTGAAACTGGGAACTAGACTGTTACGATGTTTTATGTATGTGCTGATTGAAACACCCAATATCGAATCACTCTACACATACGATGTTTATATCTTGGTTTTCTTTAAACACACATACACACAAACATACACACCACGTTTAGGTACAGTTTTCACATAAAGCTGGATTCACATATTATATTTCATATCCTTATATATATAAAGCTAAATCAAAGTAGAAAACTAAATCATTAAATCATGCATTATGGTTCAGCATCGTTATAAAAACTCATCTACTTCCCACCACTGGGCTAGATTGTAATCCCACAAAACAGAGATTATTATCTCATTCTCTCCGGCCATGGTATTATTTTGACATAGTCTCTTAATTTTTCTCTTATGATATTTTGGAATGGTTTTTTTTTTACTTTATAGTATACTTCATTTGGCATAATAACTACATTAGCATAGCAAACATGCTTGTAATTGAATTTGTGGCTGATTTCTACTAAATTCACTTTAAAAACCATGCACTGGGTCCTCATTTGAACAGAATGGATATCCCATGTATTGGATTCCGAAGAGCTAAGTGTTGGATTTTTCTTTTACTGCCTGTATCATACCTGTACTTACAATTAGCAATCGATTCTTTTATAATAAATCCATAAACGTTTTAAAACACCCGGTATGTTGGAAAGTAATCAAAAATTCAATGATTCATACAACTTGACAGTCTTCGCCTAAAGAACCTATGGGAACTTGTTCGTTAACATTGTTAATTGTTAAATTGTTTCTAGTTTTAGATTCTTGGCTAAAACAATATATGAAATTCATTGAAATGAATCTGTAAACGTTTAAAAACATCCGGTGTGAAGGATCAAAAGTCCAGTAACCAATGGAACTTGAGAGTCTTCCCCGTAGGAACTTTGCGGTGAAAATTATGTAATTGTTGAATTGTTCCCAAGTTATTAGATTATTGGGTCAAAGTAACCTTACGATTTTGAATGATTTATTCATGTCTATTTTATGCCTTTTTCTGTACAAAAGTTCCTTATTTATTATGTACGAATATTTTTTTGTTACACAAATATCATCATTATCATTCAAGCCATTACCCGTCCACTGCTGGACATAGGCCTCCCCCATAAACTGCCATAAGGAATAATCCTGAGCCACCTGCATCCACTGACTCCCTGCAATGCATTTGAGGTCCTCCATCTAATGGAGGAGTCGTTCTACATTACGTTTACCCGTACGGGGCACCACTCAAGAACTTTTCTTCCCCATCAGTAACCGTTTCTTCGAGCTATGTGACCAGCCCGTTGCCATTTCAGCTTGCTTATCCTTTAGGCTATGTCGGTTTGGTACTTTTGCGGATATCCTCGTTTCGGATTCTATCACACAAATATAGAAGTCCCTAAATAAATGTATGCAATGATTGTACAGAATGTGAATCTAGCTTGACACAGCATGGCACCAGCTTATTAACGCTTCATCAAATATATACTAACATGTAGTTATTAGAATTTGCCATGTATACATACATATGCATATTGTACAACGTATAAAAAACACTTCATTCCCAGAACCTGAGTAAACGAGAGACTTCATATTCCCAGAGAATAAAATGTTTCTTTATGTCAACGGAGGTTTCGTATGCTTTTATGCCTATGAGTATGAATGAAATCGAAATTATAAAGAAATGTTCTAAAATTGTTACTTAATATTTTTCCCAAAAAATCATCGGGTGATAAATACGACGAGAACGTAGATCCTTCTGTACTATCACAACGCGTCCAATTGCTACTTCAGTATGTGAGGATCCAAATATATTTATTTTTTGTATGTTTTTTTTTATTTTGATAAACGAGAGGATTGTCTCTCGTTTGCACAGGCCTCTAAAGATACTTACTCTGTAATTCGTCTTACTTCTAAGAGATGGCGTTAGTTGTTATCACCTAACATTCAATATAAAGGCGTGTATTTACTTAAAGCATAATTTTCCTGCACTGAAACGTATTTCTTAATGTAAAGAGATTTAAGGGTGATTTTTGAATTGTGTCATTCGGGTAATTTCGGGATTTCTATCGGTGAATACGCGCCCTTATATTGTACCAGTAACTACAGTTGTCATCAAATTGTGGATATAATATGAAACTGAACAAACGGGGATTCTTGGAAACGATACTGTTGCGATTACAATGTATGTAATTCGATTACACGTTGATAATCTCCCATAGTCCATGTATAAACTCTTCCAATTATATAAAATTGTCCGAAAAATGATATTTTTGTTTACTAAAGCTTCAGATAACGAATGCTTGAGTTCACTTTTAAATTAAATAGATTGTTTTAATTATTTACTCTCGGTACTTGCAATATATAACTCTACAATGCCACCTCTCCACTGAACATGAAATACAGAGTAAATAATTAAGTAACAAATAATCGATTTTTCAATATTCCTACAAAATAATATTTTTTTTTTTAATAAAACACCAATTGTTTTAGTGAATGAACAATTATTAGATATTCACTTGTATTTTATTAAAATTGCATTTTATTTCTCTTTTGTTGCAAATAAATTTAAATTAAGAACGAAAATATACAATACCTTCACTTTGTAACTAACTTCATTTTGAGTTACCACCAGATGCGGTTTTGAAATTAAGACTCAAGTCATTCGAAGTTTAAATCTTTTTTTTATTTTTCGAATTTCTCATGAGGGCATGTGTTATTTTATCTTAATTTTTATTTAATATACAAACTCTGTTAATATGTATGACTAATGTAATTGATTTAAGTGATTTAAAAAAATTTAATAAGTAGATTTAATTTAAAAACTGACCGTTTGTTGTTCCACATTTAAATTGCCCTCCAACAGTGAAATCGAAATGAAAGAAATATTGCACTAAAAAGTTTAAAACGTTTGTAAATATGCCTTAAAGACTTGGGTACAAGTGAATGAGATACAATTTTGTTAGTACTCATAATGCAAATAAAAACAACCGTTTGCTTACACATTGACTGTCTAATATCGATATATCTTATAACAAAAAACAATTTAAATCCCGCGGCTTCATCCGTGATCATACAAAGATGTTAAATAGTTTATAATCATATAAAATAATAATAAAAATTGCAAGATGAATTTTTCAATTGGTAGTTTCAGAGATTAGCTTGTTCAAACAAACAATCTTTTTTGCTTGTTTATATTAGGGTTAAGATATAATATATATAAATATATTTAAAAAATAAGTTTTAAAAATTGTTTAAATATGTAAATTTGTTAATTGTTGACACAAACTATTATATATCTAGGGGGACTTTACCTGGGGGTCCACCACGAAATTAAATTCCGACTTTTTGGACTCAAATTCGTGTTTTTTGTTCGTACCAAAATCGGTCCAGTAAATTGAGCTTAATATTTCATTTGACATAAATCTTACCATATTAGTCCAAAGAAACGATAATTTAATATTTTTTAAGATTTTAAACGGTATGTACGAGTATTATGTAATTTTAACATCAAATTTGTGTTTTATTCGGCTCCGAAATTTCGGAAAATATTTCATGATAAGCCCTCCGATGTCTGGATCACGGACGTGAAAAACAAATGAAGTAAGACGTTTGATAAACAATTTGCAGCAGGCAGTTACAAATAGTTGTTTGCTAAGCATTTTTTCGTATTATACGACCTGCTTATCCTGTATACAATCTGATACTATCCATCTATTTTCTCCCTCGAAGCAACAGCAAAACACGCATTGTGTTTGTAACTTTAGGAGATAACTTATCATTAGGATATTTCAAAATTTGAGAGGTTTAGTTCATACGATACCAATTTGCAGGACAACTCCATTTTATTTATAAAACTGTTAGATTTAAAACAAACATTTTAAACATTTGATTCTATTGGTGAACGATATATTATATATTTTGATGTTAAGTAAATCGTTTCATATGTAAAGACGATGGTTACTATTTTTTTAATTTTTTTTTTTTACTTTACTAAACGAAAAGAAAAAGGTAATACCGAAAACTCAATATTAAAATGTCGATTGATAAAATTTTATAAATGTATCATTGGTATAAAAAGGAAAACTATTTACGCAATGTATATTTTTACATCGGAAATGAGATTACGGTGTACAAAAAAGGCAACGCATAGAGGGTATCATGGGCGACACAGTATACTTTGTTATATCCGTGATACTGTTCACGTTTAGAGGCGACTGTAATCACTTTGTATCAGACGAGCCGTCAGCTTGTCAGCCATTATAAATTGCGTAAAAAATATTGTAACTAACTCAGAATACCAATTTTGGTGTCTAATTTGATTTGGCATCTAAAAGTTTCGATTCAGTTAGTTTTAACTAAATAAATTAGTACGACATTAATGAAACGTAATGATGAAAGTATAAAATAGAAGAAAACAAGTATTGGAGAAGCCTTAAAGATATTTATCATGATCAAATAGACCACAAAATGGCGCCTTTTGATTATGGGATGAGTTATAAAAACAAAAGAGTTTAGATATAGTCAGGCTTACTTCTTATTCTTTCTCTTATTAAATTTTATACGCGTATTACACTATTTTTTTATGGGTGTAAATAGAATGGTAACCCCGCCTGCGCTAACAGGGTACGCCGGCGGAGCACCAGTGAAGGGTGATCGATGAGAATAAAAACAGGCCAGTTAGCCTATCATGATAAATTCATCAGGAAATAAACATGATAGTTTCCAGGGGGAACCACGAAGAGGTCGACCTTGTTGGGTATATTACTAGCAATGGGATTATTAGTCTCCATTACTAACAAACCTTCTCCCCCCCCCCCCATATTACACCATTAAATATATATCGAATCTGGACCATATTAATTCATGAAGCATATTAAATATTCTTTCCCTTTGATAAATGGCGGACTAATTGATCAATAGATATGTTTTCGCTATCCCACGTATGATTTATACCGGGATAGTAGTGATTCTTGTTTTTATCATCGTATTAACCAATACTTAATCGTTTATTTCCTTTTTAGTGGTTCCGCGTCTATGATTCTAAAAATATGTTATAGATGTCGGTCGTCATATAAAATTTGTAACATTCGATTCGGCATATATCTCTTAAAAATACCATATTTTGATATTTTTCATTCAAACGATTCAAATACATCAAAAAAAAAAGCCAAAGAAAAACTAAAATCGCTTAAATAAATAAATTCTTTTCGACGGGGTTCTAATAATATTAAATAATCAAATGAGTCAATTATAGGGTTCTTATAATATCAAGTAATAAAAACAATCAATTATAGGGTTCTAATAGCATCGAATAATAAACAAAGGTTATAATAGAGTACTTTAATTATATTTATATTTATATATTTAATTTATCTAGTAATAAAGTCATTATATACGATTTTACTAAAAAAAAAAAGATAAAAATACGGTCAATTATAAGATTCTAGTAATGTCAAATAATAAAAACGATTATTTATAGGGTACTCATAGTATCGATTATAAAAATTAGTCAAATTATAGGGTTCCATTAATATCAAGTAATAAAGACAGTCAATTATAGGGTTCTAATAGCATCGAATAATAAACAAAGGTAATAGAGTTAAAGTAATATCTAGTAATAAAGTCATTATATACGATTTTCATAAAAAAAAATACGATCAATTATAAGATTCTAGTAATATCAAATAATAAAAACGATTATTTATAGGGTACTAATAGTATCGATTATAAAAATTCGTCGAATTATAGGGTTCTAATATCAATTAATAAAGACAGTCATTGTGTTCGTATACTGGTGGTGGTATCTCACGTCACGTGTAACCAAGTGGGTGGTAGCACTAGCCGTAAACGCCTATTGTGTTCCACTGGCGGGTGAAGGGTGGTTTGAGTGTGTGGCGCGGCGTCCTAACCCCATATCGACGTCGTCGGCAGTTCGTGCCAGACGATCTCAAAGATGACAAGTACTGGGCGCGCCGGCGGAAGAACAACATGGCGGCGAAGCGGTCCCGCGACGCGCGCCGCATGAAGGAGAACCAGATCGCACTACGGGCTGGCTACCTCGAGAAAGAGGTGAGGGTTTCACCTTAAAGTGCACCAGAGGGAGACTTTGTGCAACGTCTGCATGGGACTATCTCGTTCATTTTTGTTTCAGTGAAATAAAGTACTAAAACTCAAGATTTTTACGACACTTACACCTGGTGTAACAGTATTCTTGGACTGCGGTGACCAATAAGCGAATATTTTTTGCTGCCACGAACATTTACATCAAGCAAATATTATAATTTGTAGTTCATCTAAACGCCATTAGTTTTGTCTTAAAATCTTACTTTATGCTGAACTTTTATTTTATAATGAAATAAACCTACAGACTACATATGCACAAGATCTCCCTCTTTCGTATTTAGTCATAGCATTCAAGTTACGATCTGGCCATGTTCCACTCGACAAAATTTTTCACCTTATTAATGTTAAGCAGTCACCAAATTGTACATACTGTAATAAAATAGAAACTCTTTTACATTTTCGAGTGGAATGTGGTCGGGTTTACAACTTGAAACAGAGAATTCAAGACGATAGTCATAGCCAACCTGGCAGTTGCAATACTAAACGCCCATATATGTGGGCAAAAGAGTCTCTGTCTAACTGATCAGTCCTTACATGCAAACACTCTATGAAGCTAGCACAGTCACTCGCATGTACTGAAGCCTCAATAAAAATTAGAATAAAAACTCCTTTTGATGGTTTAGAGTTTATTTGTACTTGTTATATAGGATTCCAGATAAACTAACATGCTGATGACTATATTGGGGTCACTAGTAAAAGACATTTGCCAATTATAACGCTCGACCTATCCACATTTCGCTGATCATATTAGAAATCAACGTAGCAAAGGACGAGCCTACCGCCTTTACTCAGATCGATGTGATTCGTTACCATTATTGTCTATATATATTATAGCAATTTACTTTCAACGTTTTCAGAACATGGGGCTGCGACAAGAAGTAGAACTGCTTAAGAAAGAAAACCACATTCTCCGTGAGAAGTTATCAAAGTACGCGGACGTATAGGCGGCCCTTCCCAATTACCCGCATAGCACAAACACGCCACACGACATGTGAGTATTCCTTGTTAATGGATGAGAATGGAATAGTAACCCCGTCTACACTATCAGTATCCGCTGACAGGGTACTACTGACAGCAAAATCAGGCCAGTTGACCCATGGTGATGAATTCATCAGGAACTAACTACAATGGTTTCTAGGAGGAACTGTGTAGAAGTCTATCTGATATTATATAGGAGTTTTATCCGTCGCTGTGTGATTCCTGCATAAAATAGGCCACCCCTTCCTTTCCCATGGGTGTCGTAAGAGACTAAGGGAACTTAATAGTCGAGGGATGGGCAGCAACGCTCTTCTTAAAACATCAAGGACTAACTGCGGTTGCCAATACGCCTTCTAAGCCTGGTGATTACTACCAAAACTCCCCGACAGAGGGACGCCTATGTTCAGCAATAGGCGATTAACGGCAGATATAGATAAGGAGTTTTATAATCCATTACTGGTAATCCCTTCCCCCAACATATTATTATGACTTAATATTGAATGGCAAAACGCTCTCTTATGGGATAGACCTGTATTCAGCAGCGAACAGTCAACGGCTGATATGATGATGATGATGAATAGTATATAGATAATTCAAATGAACTAATTGTCCAATGTGTTGGTGCAGGTCGCGGGCGCAACACTGGCGTGCGCGCGCGGACCCCTCCCCGCGCCGCCCACCACCTCCGGACTCCGGACACATTGCTCTACTTGTTTCATTATCGCATAATTTTAAGAAATCAAACTGATGTTACTTTGTAATGCTATACGAATTTGTTCGCACCCATCAGTACGACAAGTTCTGTCGCCCCCGTCTCCGTCTCCGTCTCCGCTGGTGGCTGGCGGGGTGTGCCGCCGTCGTTTCGCGCGCCGCACACTTCGCTCGTCCGCAGCCACCTCCGTTCTCTTGTAAAACTATCGATTTGCTGAATATTGTTTCGTTATACGTTATATTGTTTAATGAACGTGATAATTACTAAATATATTATATCGTGTAGTTATGCTGCTCATTCAGCGAATCGATAAGTGTACACGTGACGCATGTTGTTCATAGATAGGATTAAAGATATCGCAGTTACCGTAAGTTTATCTAATTAGTTTAATAGGTAAATCTTAACCAAAGTTCCGCTCGAGCTTTGATCTGTCGTCGTCTCTAATTCCTTCACTCGGACTCAGTTCGACACTCAACAGGGTTAGTCAACGACGTATGGACCAAATTTTATGGAAATTGTTATTTTTGAATGGTGATTGTTGTGTCCCGTCCCAAGCGTGCGCCGCGTCGCCGTCGCGTCCGTGTCGCGTCCGCGGCGACTGTCCGACCCGAGTGCGGATATTGTAATAAGTTAATGTTGTTGAATATTTATATTGATACCGGCACCGGTGGCAGCAGGCCGCCGCACGCAAGTTTGCTCAAGTGGCTCGCGTACGCATTCGCAATATGTAGTGGCTGCGTCTGTATATAGATAGATTTAATAAGGCGTCGGGGCGGCCCCCGGCCGCACCCCGGACACTCGAACCTACTCGAAATCTGTATTATAAAAAACGTCGCTGTTGTAAACTCTGTCCCCGTCCGTCCCCCTCTTCTGGAACTTCTCCTCTGAGCCGTCGGTGGCCGCCGCGCCCGAGCGAGCCGTGTCCGGGGCCGCGCCGTCGGTCCACGCCCGCGTCCGCGTCCGCGCCCGCGCCATCGCCGGCGCGGCCGCGTTTGCTGCTCCCTCGTCCCTCTAGCTCGCTTCTTAGGACTGCTCCGTATGAGATTAAATCCCAAAAGGGACCCAGGGCCGCCTCGCGCGATTCCCTACCCCGTTACATACCCTCTGTCGTTTCCGTAGAGAGCGATAACACTAGTGTCGTTTCAAATTTACTTAGTGGATAGTTTAAGTAGTACGTAGATTCCGTAGTGTAGTCGTTATTAGTCTATTTTTGTTATGGCTGTAGTTGTTAACGTTTTTGAAAGTTTATATAATTTTTTTTAGTTGTAAAGAGACTCGCGTTATTGTATCGATATGGGTAGGACCCGCATATAGAGATAATCGGCGCCCCGCGTCTACACCGCTCCCAGAGAGTGAGGCCGCGCTCGCCCGCCGGCGGCTGCGCGCGGCCACGCACGCTGCGCTGCGCAAGCGCTGTGCGCGGCGCTGCGCTGCGCAGGCGCCGGCGGCCGCGCTCGCCGCCACCGCGGACAGGTCCCCGCGGCCGCGTCCTAACGCACTGACTACGTCTCCTAGACGTTTCCTCCGCACTCTATTTGACTCGTGCTATTGTTATAATATATTTTTGTAGGTTTTTGTCGTTGATAAATGAGTCAATTGAATGTTTAATGAATTGAAGAAAAATTAATGTTTATAACTAAGACTAAGAAGTTGTTGCATTTGAAAGTATTTTATGGATACAAAGCGAGAACAATAAAATGTTTTTTCTATAAAGATTTACATGTGAGGGATTCTACAAAGGTGTGAAGGTTAAATTTGGAAATGCACTGTTTCATATCAAACGATATTATATTATGTATTATAACTTAATGTTAATCGGCTGCGCAGTGCGGCATTTGATATTCCATCTTGTTTGTTAAAAAATATACATTGGATTATGCAATTTGTGTATATTGGTACCTATACATACATGATATAATTGTTTCTCCGAAAATTGTAATATGGGTATAATGATGTAATATTATATTATTAAGGTATCGTGATAAGAAGGAGTCGTATGTAAGAACATTGTGGTAATGTATACCTAACTTTATGAGTGAAGTGTCTGTGAAGTGGTTCGGGCGGGGCCGACGCGGCGCCTGCGATGTCGGCGCTCGAGCTCGAGCCGCGGCCGCGGCCGCCGCGCGCGCCGCCGTCCCCTCCCTCGCCCACCCGCCGTCGCACCGCTCCCGACCTGACCCGACCCGACCCGACCCGACCCGACCGCCCCATCCCGCACCGTCCCGCCCCGCCCCGCCCCGCCCCGCCACACCTCGCCCCGGCCCAGCGCCCGGTCCGCGCCCGTCGACCGCGCCTCACTCCCACCTCGCACCTCTCCTCTCTGTCTCCTTATTTATTACTTATTTATAAAATGCCCTCACCGACGAGGTCATTAGCTAATGTTAACATCTCTAAATTGCAACAACATAAAACCATATTGATTTAATGTACGAGTAGTATTTTGTTTGATTTTAATTTATATGGTTCTATGGATTGAAATAAACGTTAATTGTTGTATTTATGTTTAGTTTTTTTTTTTATGTGTGTGTGGGATCGCGAAGGCGCGCGGCCGCGCGGTCGTACGGTCGCGTGGTCGTGTGTCCGCGTGGTCGCGTAATGGCGTGGTCGCGTGGTCGCGCGTCCGGACGGCCGTGCGGTCGCGGGGCCGCGCGGTCCGCCGGCGGCCCGCTAGCTCGTAATATAACATGGACTGTAGTTACCAGTAAGTACTTTATTAAAATTAACGCTGGATGTAGCGGCTAGCGACCTCATGGCCTCCAGTAGGTGTTCTCAACCGCTGATACCTTTTCTCGATCGGTGTTTAATGTAATAAATCGTGGTAAAAGTACCTTGCACACAACATGAAGTTTTCATTTCCTTCACCCACTCCAGCGTACAGAAATAAGCCACATATCATTACATCACCACTACTTGCAATACATGAATGGCACACTTTGAGAACACATTGAAAATTGACAGCTTCCAAATAGACAAGCATGGTGCCTGTGGATTCAACTGTCCTATTCTGTAAAGTTCCGCACTTCATTTCACTGCTCACTTCACTTACTTTATTTATATATTTTCACGTCATCAAATTTGCATATTTTCATGTGTAGCAAAATTTAGTAGTATATAGATAGATACTCTCTATTGTTTCCTCCAAAAGATTACAGTAGTAAACTTATTATAAATACAAACAATTATAAGAAATGATCACAGTGAGAAGACTAATAGTGGCCTTATAGCTAAGAGCAATTTCTTCCAGGCATCCTTTGGATAGAGAAGAGTTTGACTTGAAGCACGATTAACTGTTCGTTTTTTAAATATATATAGAGATATAAGATATATAGAGGTATATAGGGAGGTAGTAGTAAGCTTTGGAAATGACAAGTGAAGTGTATTGAGTTTTGAGAAGTACGTTCGTAAGTATAGCGCCATATTTACTCCAGTGCACCGCCATTTTAACAAAGTGGTACTTACTGTCTTACTTGTCCACTGCTGAACACAGGCCTCCTCCTATTAGGGGGTTTTGACAGTAGTTGCCACGCTTGGCAGCAAGGTTGTACACCGCAATTAGGTTTTAGTGATGTTTTAAAAGGGACGCTACTGGCCATCCCTTGACTTTTAACATCCCTTAATTGCTTCTTACTACACCCACGGGAAAAGAAGGGGTGGCCCGTTCTATACCGGAGCCAAGTGGCAACTTTCTTACAGAATACAAAATGTAGGTACTTAAATCACTCGCGAATACACCAGTAAAATACGAGTTTTTTAGGGAATAACACTATAGGCTCTCTAGACAAGTGGCAAGCGAATTCGTCGTCGAAGTCGACATCGCTAGCGAGTCCGTGAGATAGCAACACCGGATGTCTCATTCCAATTCACGGACTCGCTAGCGATGTCGATCAACGAATTCGCTTGCTACTTGTCTAGAGGGCCAGTTCCTCTGCCTTTTTTTTTATTATTTAATATAGGGGGCAAACGAGCATACGACCTACCAGATGGTAAGATTACCGCCGAGCGTAAACTTTTTTATACAACTTAGAATGGCAAACAAGCTGACGGCCCAGTTGATGGAAAGTGGTAACCGTCGCCTATAAACATGAGCAGTACCATGGACATAACAGAGTATACTGTTTCGCCCATGATACACTCTATGCGTTGCCATTCCTGAGGACTCAGATGTTATTTCTCTGTACCCTGTAAATTCACGCCCTTCAAACCGAAACACAGCCATGCAAACACACACCTGAATCAGAGAAATGTCGGATTAAATGAACCAACGAAATAAACTTCGTCAGCAAGAGTAACAGCCGACAGTATAGTGTTAAAAGTAAGTTAGTTTTAACAGAACTGAATGAAAAGGTTAGCAAGTTTTCTTTTAAATTACAATAGAAACAGTCTCTGAACGAAATTAATAACAAATCGAAACACACTAAGTATAACTATGTAAAATGTATAACTTTATATCGGTACTTATTATAAAATCAGAAAGGATTCTGTAAACTGGTAAATTGCAATAGTTTAATAATACATTAATATTAGTGGCGAGGGGAACTTTTAAGGATATTAAGGATATATACAACTGTGAATAATTGTAGAGGACAGGATAGAAAAATAGGATTTAAATTTCCAATGTCGGTTCCACACTCGCATATCTACAATTATAAATCGAGCAATGGTTGCTGGAGAACAGGCATGATGATATTAAATTAATTTACTGACCGGTATAGGACACGTATGGCGTGAATTTACTGGGTACAGAGGAATAACACCTGAGTCCTCAGGAATGGCAACGCATGGGGGAAACAGTATACTCTGTTATGTCCATGGTACTGCTCATGTCTATAGGCGACGGTTACCACTTTTCATCAGGTGGGCCGTCAGCTTGTTTGCCATTCTAAGTTGTATAAAAAAAAAAAAAACGTATACCAAATTTCATATTTATTTATTCTTTATTGTACACAAAAAATTACAACATATAATATATATAAAATAAAGATGTACAACAGGCGAGCTTGACTCTGTAAGAGTTCTCTTCCAGCAAAACCTGAGTGGAAAGGAGCATTAATTACTAGCGGGCAGTGTGCGTACAATAAAAGAATTAACAGAATAATAATAGAAATTCATAGTGATCGCTTAAGCCATTTTGGTGCTATAACAAACAAACTCGCTCTCACGTTTATAATACGCTACCTCTTATCCCTTATATACGCAGCCCATCAAACTAAGCACAGTGGTGACCCATACGTGATGAAGGAGTCCAGCTTGCGGCTCACCTAAGATGTCGCATTTTTTATAATTCACGGCTGGAATGCCCAATAATATTATAAACTAGCGACCCGTCCCGGCGTCGCACGGGTGGACACTTTTACATTTTAAAAAGTGGCCATTAAAGCTGCACACGCGACGGAAGCTTAAAAATGGAGTAACTACTCCCGTTTTCCCAACATTTCCCTTCACTACTCTGCTCCTATTGATAGTAGCGTGATGAAAAGTATACCATAACCTGCCCAGGAGTATGAAGAATAATTGTACTAAGTTTCGTTAAAATCCGTCGAGTAGTTATTGTTTCTATAACGAACATACAGACAGACAAAAATTTTACTAATTGCATTTTTGGCATCAGTATCGATCACTAATCACCCCCTGATAGTTATTTTGGAAATATATTTCATATACAGACCTCTCTACAGATTTATTATAAATATAGAAGATGTTAGTTGTAAAGATGTTTGTTACTCAATCATGCTGTCCACCGCTGAACATAACCTCCCCCTATTGGACGGTTTTGCCAGTAGTTGCCACGCTTGGCATGCAGGTTTTTTTTTTTAATTGATGATAATGGAATGGTTACTCCACCTGCGCTAATGGTAAACACTGGCGGAGCACCAATGAGGGGTGATAGGTGAGAATGAAAAGGCAGCTTAGTCAACCCATCGTGATGAATACACCAGGAATTCAGCACGTTGGTTTCCAGGAGACACTACATGGGGGCGACCTTATGGCATATTGCTAGCAATGAGACTGATAGTCCGTAATACTAACAAGCCCTTCCGCCTACCATGAGGGTTGCCTACCGCAGTTAGACTTTTGTAATGTTTTAAGAAGGCCGCTGCTGCTCATCCCTCGACCGTTAACCCACCCACTGGAAAGGAAGGGGTGGCCTATTCTATGCCGGGACCACACGGCGAATATAACACATAGGACATAATATAGAACAATTAATATCGAATGAAAAATACTAAGAGAAATGAAAGCAACAGTAAGCCATATAAAGTGTATTTAAAGAACAAAATATGTCAAAATCGTACAAATCAACAATGACAACAAATATAATTAAACATTACAATACAATAATATTGAACAACTATTTACACAAATAAAGTGCAGTATTGGCAAGTGTGTAAACCTGCAAGTCCAGTATTCGAATAATGTCAAAAGAGGGCGACTACGACGCCATCTGTAATATGAAGTTCAAGTCATTAAGTTTCATATAATTGCAAACTGGTATACCTCGATAGATGGGGTTGATCATAGAGGACTTCTCATGTTTTACCATCCATTGTTACCTATGTATCACAATTGAAATAAATAAATAAACATATAGTATTTTACTAGATGGCTAAGGTGTAGATGAAGTACATAAATTCAAAATTAGTCCAAAATAACATAAAAAATACAGATTAATTTTACAATTTAAGATTTTGATAGATATATAATTTATTTGCATACGCAAGAAAAAAGAAATAAAAGAATACATATAAAAAAACGATAATACAAAAATTTTGTTTAATAAAAAACATCGAGTTTGATTAAAATTCTATGTTAGATAAAAAAAAAAGAATTTCCCAACTGACGAAGTTATGAAGTAATAAACTTAAAAAAATATCATCGAATTGAGGACCTCTCTTTTTGAAGTCAGTTTAAAATAGTACCTGGCATTCCCTTTCTACAGTCTAGTATGAACTGTATAAAGATTGTGACTGTATTAAAGTTGGAATTTGTAAATTATTTATTTAAATATTCCTATAGGCATTTAGACAATATTGCTATGAAAATTTTAACAAAACATATATATTTTTCATTACATTTTATTAAAACAGATTACAAACAGTACAATTCCTCTTGTAAATAAATCTACCAGCCATGTGTACCGAATTGTCATGTAATCGTCAGGGATGTTAAATATATTAATAATTTTATAGTAAACACATTAAAATGAAATTATTATATTATATATAAAAAAGATTCCCAAAGAGGGTTGACGTCAGGCAGGTGGCCGGTTGTAAAACTAAAAAACCAAATCTTTTTGTAATATGGACAAAATCATATTACGCCAACCCCAAATGGTTGGGATGAGGGTAGGAAGATGATGATGATATATAAAAAAAAATATAACCATATAAAACAATAATAACCATTCCTCATTGCCTCTACAATATATGTATACATACGAGTAGGTACAAAGCGTTTTTTAAAACGGGTTGCCATCTTCTGAAATTAAAATTGTGCACTTGTGCTAATATTTACTTTCTATGAATTAAATTTTCCTTACAGTTTTATGTGAATACATAATAATTATAGTTTATATTGTTACAAGAATTCGGTATTTAAAATAGTTTTGGTACGTATGTATGAGTACATACAAATACATATAGCATTGTTGCCACCCTCTGTTGATAAGACATTTTCGAATTCAAATTATAAATTTGCAGGATTGCTTTCTTAGTACTAACCAGTAGTTCCTTTAAAAACGTTTGCGGTCTTACTACAAAAATAAATTTAAAACACTATCTAATTAAACAAAATTATAAATGATTAAAGATTGTTAAAAAAAAATTGTTTTATTCAACAAATTTTGTTTTCGACATTTCTTTTAATTTACCTTTTATTCGTGTTTATAATAACACAATAAGATATCAAACGCCCTTTTGTATCAAGACTTCCAAATATGTATTTAACATCTATCTAAATATGATTTTAAACTTTTTGTAGTAAGACCGTTACAGATTACGACTTCTTAAGAAACTGCACGCACAAATTGCGACCGGTTTGCAGCTCTGAAAGCGTTCACCTATATTGACAACATAGATCATACACATACTTCTAGATAGAACGTCCAAAAAGTGTCCAAAATTGTTCAAATAAAGGACAGCCTACTGTTGCGTCGCTTGTTTTTTTTTTTGACAAAATAAAGCGCGCCATTTTTAGGTGTTGCCAGTAATAAACAATATTTCGATATCTCTACTCAATGCTTACAATGATGAATCACGTAATTTTACGTATGATCTGTCATAAAAATTCACTCGCATGACAATAAAAATATGGCTGTTTTCGGCGAGGCGTTCGTAGAGAGCCGACCTATCTAGATGTTGACCTAAGATTGACAATAGAGAGGTAGTTATTGCTGTAGAATGATGTGAAATAAGATAGTTATACCTACACCAAACAACTGTAAATTATCTAGACAGACAGTCAGTCTCAAAAAACTGGATAACGCATGATATGGTACAACTACCCTCATTTCGAATATATATATATACTTTTTAACAAATGTATATTAAAATTGCAGTAAAATTACAATTTAAAATATAATAACTACAACAATACTGTTTTTCTAAACACTATTCTAAACTACAATGTAAGCCTAATAAATACGTTCCGACAATGATTTCTCAATTTAACTTGAAGACAGTAATATTATTTTATGATCCCCGTTCGCGTATATTTAATTCGTTTTTTTAATAGTTCCCGTCATAGTGAGCAAGTTGTCGCGTACTCTCATAAAATATACATTATTTTTTTAGATTATAATTACGTCATTAGAGCGCACCTATTAAGGCCTTAATCTAATTACAAGAACAAGCAACAAACGCCTGTTCCATTATTTATACTAATTTCTTCCCGCGGCCAATCCGCGGCTTTGATCACGTGTGCTCCAGTTGCCACTACAAGATGAAACAATATACAGTGTACCTGCATGCAACGTGTTTAGTTTCAAAACGAATTCATTCGTATCTCTTTAAAGGATTTTCCATAAAGTAAATATTGGAAATTTTCATGGACGAATGATTTGAACAGTGGTTGATTTACTAGCAGCCTTAGCAAGCTGGTGTCCAAGGCGACAGATTTGAAAGGCTTGCAAATTTGAAGTCAATATTGTTTTATCATAAAGTTACAATTTCACAGATAAAATAATATTATATATAATCAATATAATTGTAAAATAGGATATCGATTTGTAGAAGATGAGGAGTGACAAATGTGTAAATCCACTACTAAATTTATTCCCATAAATTAAGGATAGAGTCCTTTCTGCGTTTAGAGTCACTGTTGAGTCACGCTTTAGTATCGTAAGTTCAAATATTTTGTTCATTATTGTTCCATATCTTTCAATTTTCATTCTTTCTCTCTTCAATAAAACCACACCATTTGAATTTATTAGACAGAGAACCTATATTTGTAGGTTTATATTTTTTCCATTTATTCAATTACCTACATTGTATTTGTTAACACAACATTGTATTTTGTTTCTTTAACTCTTTATTACACAAGAAACATAAAAATATACTATAATAATATTGAACAATTCAGGTGAATTACATGAAATACAGATTAAAATACGTATAAAGGTAGAAAAGGCGGTGTTATCGCTAAGGCAATATCTTACAGACAACCTTTGGTTATAGGGGAGTAAATAGAAATGGGTCAGTGGTGCAAGAGTGTATTTATTATTATTTTTGTATTTTTCTACATAAAAACTATAATTGTCAATAGGTAAAAAGGTTCGTTTTAAACACTAGTGTTAGAATTAAGGCGTGTCATCATCAATCTCGGTGATTCGCGCTCAATCTCAATCGATCGCTCAATCAATAGATACAACTGTAGCATGAAATGTCTTCTATTTTTATCAATTTTGGGACAGCACGATATTGGAAAAACACTAATTACATATATTGTAATTAATCTGGTAACAATACGAAGACTTACTAAAGCACTTATCTAAGTTGGATTAGGTTAGAATTTTAAAGACACTCCAAATTTATCTTTTGTATTTTTAATAGACCACGAAAAAGTCGATGGCCCATGTACCATTTACAATTACACCGTATATACTAGGCTAGGCAGTAAGATAATCTTTCTAATATTCTGTCTACCATTTTCTACGTATATATTAAATCTTATAGTAAATGTTATGGTAAATCTACGTGCTGTATTCTATTATAATAACAAAGAATTGTAACAGGTCAAAATTATTTATTCTTTGAAAACTGATATTGACGTCCGATAACCCGACAGATGTTATGTTTAGCGGAAGAACAGAACTACATATAAATCAAGCAATTATTAACAAGCCGATTCACTCGATTCCACCTTTTCCTTAAAGGTACATAAGGGTGAGGCCAAGCCCCCTAACTTTATACCACATTTACGCAGAAAAACCAACTTAATTTTTTTATACAATTTAAAAAAAATTCTACTCATAATTATTTTCTAAGAGGTAACCCTATATTAATTAATAATGAAACAAGTAAATTACAAGTTGACGATTAAATTTTTTCTTTTAATATTTTAAAAGCGTCTCGAACTCTGAATGTCCAAGGATCTCTAACATGGTTTGATCTCCGTCGCAACAATGAAAGCCTTATCAGAAAAATAAAATTCTAAATTAAAAAAAAAATGCTAATAGTGTAAAAAAAGCACTTGCCTTCCTCAGATTGAGAACTTGTTCTATATTCGAAAATACTCTTAACGCTCACGTATTTGTTCTAAGTATATTTTTTGCCAGCTCTTTACCCGTTATTTCTTAGGCGAAAATCAACTATATTGTCTACTTGTAGAGGGCGTATCAAGAGAAAACAGATCATGTGAGTTACTCCTGAAATGAATTCCAATAAATCGATATTGAAATTGAGACGTTTCACCATCTTGAATTGCAACACTAGCGACATAATAGTTACATATTGTTCTTATAGATGCATATTAGTGCAACTTGCCAATGCGAACCATTGTAAACCGATCCCAATTTTAACTTAATTCCGAACTGTAGTTACACGAGTGTAGTATAAAATTGTCATTGGCAATTGATTGGATTAATATTGATATTAGATTCAATAGTAGACTCAAGACTAAGTTGTTTAAGGTAGACCTTTAGGAATGAAACAGTGAATATTGCATCCAATTACGTGCAGTGTATTTTTACTTTGTTTTGGCTTCTGTTAGTCTTATTATGACCTATTTCTTCCTAAAAATACCCCATGTACAGACAATTAATAATTACAATATTATTATATTACCAAATTTAACTCACCTTTTTTCTAACAAATTTTTGTACGTACCATAATGGCGGTTGATATTCATTTTATGAAAAATGAAGTGATTAAAATCTTTTTTAATTAATAATATTTCATATACAACAATGTGAGTGTATCTGCTATTCGAACTATCATCATTACATTTGAATATCAGCTGGTAAATATCTTAAATGAGTTAAACAATAACTCCCCGAAACTTGATCTGATAATGTAACAGTTATCGATCGGTTATCTTAAATTCTTTTTTTTTTATACAACTTAGAATGGCAAATAAGCTGACAGCCCACTTGATGAAAAGTGGTAACCGTCGCCTATAGACATGAGCAGTACCATAGACATAATAGAGTATATTGTTTCGCCCATGATACCCCCCATGCGTCGCCATTCCTGAGGACTCAGGTGTTATTCCTCTGTACCCAGTAAATTCACGCCATATCCCACCCTTCAAACCGAAACACAGCCATGCAAACACAACTGCTTCACTGTAGAAACACGAATGAGAAAATCACCACATTTTGAAACACAAGAACGACGATATGTCGTTTTCATAGCAACGATACTTGTAACAATAAAATAATATAAAATAGGATCAAATAATATATAGCAATATATATATATATATATTGCAGTTACAATAATAGATATATTAAATATTGGTTAATACAAATAAAGAATCCAATCGAAATGAACATAGACTTATATAGGCGAAATCAAAGTGAGTGTTAACCTTTTCCCCGCCATCAGTGTTCATCAGAAAAACCCAATATATAGGTATCAGAGCGATACTGATATTAACAATAGCTTATATAAAAGTAAACCTTAATGCGTCGTATTAGAGCGTGCTTCAGTATCCATACCGTGGCGATACCGTCCCACTGGCTGCACTAACAGTCTAGGCGTGTAGAGGTTGGGCTTCCGTGGGTTGCGGTTGGAACGATCTTATTATACTAAGCAAGGCCGTGTAGGTGCCAGCAACGAGGCCCACAATGCCGATCAGGAATAGCAGCACGTCCTTAATGAGTCGTATGCGGCCTGGCCCGAACTTGTCCGGGAAGGAAACGCAGATCTCCATGATGGCTGGGAAACAGATGCCCAGCGCGGACAGGCACAGTGCACCGAAGAGGGAGATGAACAGCCCCAACCGTGGAATGGCGATGGCCAACACAACTGGAAACATAATTATGTAACAATTAGGCTAATGTCTGGTAATGTTCTCAGCAGAAGATTGGTTTTGAAAAACGAATTTTGTCATATAAAGTACTTTCTTATATGGCAGTCACGTGGTACGCATGTGGCTACCTACTCCAGTCTGGAACTGACTCATCATTGACCTTTTTGTTATTTTGAGTCACAGCATCCAGTATGTTGTTATTAAACGATTTTGCTATTTACTTTTAGTAGGAGATTTCGTTTACATTTTTCTCATACAAATTTCATCTTGCAAAATAAATCAGGACCGTAGCTAGGCCCAAGTTTAAGGTAGCGCAAAAGAACTTTTTGGTAGAGTACAAGCCATAATTGACTTCGAAAAAGCAAAAATCTTAAATTGTCTTGGGGCCTTTTATTTTAAGATCGAGCATTGGGCCTATATAGAAGATATAGCTTCGGCTTATGATATATTCACCGATTTCTACCAATTACACAGCACCCATAGTTATTATTACTAGCAATATACGCAACCAGATCGACCTCTACGATCGACATCGACTCATCGTGGTAAATTCCAACATCTCGATGGGCTTACTGACCTGTCTTTTCATCTTCACCTATCATCACTCACTGGTGCCCTGCCGATGTATACCGATAGCGCAGGCGGGGTTACGATTCCATCATCACCCATTAAAAAAAGTACAAGCTCTGCTTATGCTCTGTATTATAAGTAGATTGAAGGTTTATTTTTATAATAGCGCCACATGGGACCATACAATCCTGAGCGACAACAGAGACAACACGATCCAGGAATAAGATCAAGCGTAAAGAAAACGTTCTACTCTCCAGCTCGTTTAATAGTTTTCCTGGGTAAATATGAAGGATCCGAAAGGGTATGAAGGGGACGTATCACTGAAAGGCCATTTCACGATGTGAAAAACTTACAAGTGATAAGACAAAGTGAGATCCTGAGTGCGTACTCCCAGAGTCGCAGCCTCTGAGACCCTGAGCGCTGCAGCCACGGTAGCAGGTACCCTCGCCACACCACTTCCACGGGTACGTAGCAGTGCAGCCCGTAGCTGATGAAGATGGCGATCGCGAACATTGAAATCACGCTGGTCGCTAGCCTGCAACATTAATAACAATATTAATAAGTTTTTACCAGAGGGAAACTTTACACAAAAGTCCTTTGGTTTGGTACCTCTGTCCCATTCGTGTTTCAACTGTGAAACAGTTGTGTTTGCATGGCTGTGTTTCAGTTTATAGGGTGGGATATGGCAGTGAATTTACAGGGTACAAAGGAATAACACCTGAGTCCTCAGAAACAGTATACTTTGTTATGTCCATAATACTACTCATGTCTAAAGGCGACGGTTACCACTTTCCATCACGTGGGCCTTCAAATTGTTTGCCATACTAAGTTGTATATAAAAAAGTCTTGCAGTTACACGAATCGACTGGTCCTCAAGCTAGGATGTCCTGCGTTATAAGGCACCAAGCAACATACATCTGGGAACACAACTAAGAACAAGATTCGAGCCAATTTAGAAAAGAACACATATACATCGCATACACTGTGATGCTCATGGCCTTTGCTGATGATTATAGTATTATGCCATGTTATGTTAGTAGTTATTGCCGTATGCTCCCATGTGCGGGCATAGAATAGACCACCCCTGCCTTTCCCATGGGTGTCGTAAGAGGCGATTAAGGGAGAACGAGGAATCGGCAACAGCGTCCCTCTTAAAACATCTTCGAAGCCTAACTGCGGTTGTCAATCCGCTTGCCAAACGTGGCAACTACTGTCAAACCCAAGGGGGAGGCTTATATCCAACAGTGGACAGTTAAAGGCTAATATGATAATAGTGTTATACCACTCCATGCCCTATAATTTCACTGCAATAATCCACTTTGGAAAATCATCAAAACCTAACTGCGATTGCCAATTCGCTTGCCAAACGTGACAACTACTAGAAAATCCCACCAGTGGGAAGAGGCCTATGTTCAGAAGTCGACAGTTAAAGGCTGCTATTATGATATGTCGAACCCATCTATCAAAACGAAATACAAGATTTTTTTTTTATTTATTTATTTATTAAATACAAAAAATTTACAACAGCGAGTACATTGGACCCCGCACTAGGAGAACCTGTATCGCGGGAGTCCATATGAGATTACCAGGACACGGTGATTTACAAATATAAATTAAATTAAAATACTAAGCCAGTTTTACGAAAGCAACAAGTTAAAATGAAGTGCTTCATAATACCATAAATACGGGTGAACAGACGTTCCCATGCAATTTGTATGCAATCTTTCTGTGGTAAAATGACCATAACATACTACAACTGTACGGAGTACGGGACAAAATTCAAAATTCCATATGCAGATGACTGTTACATAGGAGTATTACGTTTATTAAAGTTAATAGGAAATAGGTCAGAGAATTAAAAGGCAAATAGCCGTAATAAGTAGGGCTCATGGTCGGTGCTCGGACTTCGCTCGGACGTACTGTCGTTTATTTACAACTATCCTACGGTAATTACCGATGGTATGCGATGTATGAGAGGGCACGGAGCGATAGCCAGGCTCACAATGACCGCGGACAAAGGGACATTGTATTATTACTGTACAGAGAACGCATTTAAACGGCACTCACATGAGTAGACACCACGTACGTATAAATAAATAAATTACTTCAGTAATAAAAAAATATTACAAACTATAGCATTAACTTGATTAGAAGTGGTATATGTAATTAATAATATAGTTTACGGACTATATATAATAATCAGAGGGAGACTTTGTACAAAAGTCGATTGCTTGGGTACCTCTGTCCCATTCGTGTTTCAACTGTGAAGCAGTTGTGTTTGCATGGCTGTATTTCCGTTTAAAGGGTGGGATATGGCGTGAATTTACTGGATACAGAGGAATAACACCTGAGTCCTCAGGAATGGCAACGCATGGGGGGTATCGTGGGCGAAACAGTATACTCTGTTATGTCCACGGTACTGCTCATGTTCATAGGCGACGGTTACCACTTTCCATCAGGTGGGCAGTCAGCTTGTTTGCCATTCTAAGTTGTATAAAAAAAAAGTTATTTATTATATATGTACATCATAATGCTATATCTTTGTAACCATAAACTATAAATATTTAAATAGAAGAGGTAGTTAATCTAGATATACATCTAATTATATTTTAAACTGCATTCTTATTTGTATGATATACTCGTAAGTTATGAACTTAATTTTATAATATTACTAGTTTATACCCTTGGCTTTGTCTGCATAACTGGGGCATTTTGATTTTCTGAAATAAATTTAACTTATATCCTTCTCTAACCAAGATACTAAGTGTACCTATGCCAAATTTCGTACCCATCAATTGTATCATTAAAATACCTAAAGATAACATAACAAATATACTTTCATAGGGGGGAAAGGGATTGTTAGTAATGGAGACTAAGAATCCCATTGCTAGCAATATACCCAACCAGGTCGACCTCCTCGCGGTTCCCTTTGAAATCTATCATGGTTAATTCCAGATGAATTCATCATGATGGGCTAACTGGCCTGTTTTCATTCTCACCTATCACCCTTCACTGGTGCTCCGCCAGTGTATCCCGTTAGCGCAGGCGGGGTTACCATACCATTTTCATCAAATAAAAAAAAAACTTTCATATTTGTATAAATAGTGCAATACTGTTTTCCGCGATAGCTATTTGACAATAGATGGCATTGTTGAGCAACACTAAGAAATATCTAAATATAATTTCCGAAAAACACGATTTACCAAAAAAATACCGAGCAAAGTTCAGTTATTAAGGTACTATTATTTACTATACAGTAGAGTTAAGGGGCCATCTGAAAATCAGCGCTATAATATAGGTACATCTCGCTAGAGGTGTGCATACATAGCAACAGCTCAGTCGGCTCCAGCAACCAGCAAAATGAATTGTTTTCTTTTTATTATTGTTTTTTTTTTTTACCTGTAATTATTATTGTTGGTAATAAAGACTCTATCTATCTATCTATCTAGGTCAGGGGTTCCCAAACTTATTTTGTCTACTGCCCACTTTGAGAATAAATTATTTTTTAGCGCCCCCATTTTTTCACCTACTTAAAAACCACTATTACTTCAAATTTAGACACCACGCCGGCATACACAGACCAACAGTGTAGGCCGGCTGCAAACCCAGCGACCCGGAGGTAGTCGCCTCCGGAGTAGAAACCGGAGTAACGCCCCGAGGCCCCTACATCACCCGCCCACACCTCATCTGGCGGGCAAAGAGAAGACCCTGTTGTTGTTTGTTACTTCAAATTACAAATCACCCCCAAGCCTCCACACAGCGCCCCCATTTTTTTTAAGTCCCTTACCGCCCCCCTTTAGGCCTGCAGCGCCCACAAGGGGGCGTTATCGCCCATTTTGGCAAAGGCTGATATTAGGCTACATAATAAACGTTTCCACTAATACTTACGGGCCTTGTGGAAGATCAAGTGTGACCGAGTCGCTACACTCTGACACGCAGTATACGTATCCTAGCGCGCCCACCGCCACATACAACACCACTATGATGCTCATCCCTGTGTTCAGCACCCCGCAAGGACTGCCGAATGCTTTTGGAGTCTTCATATTGTTCTCTAATGCTATTACCTAAAATATCATCGCAAATTTAATATCACTTTCTAGGCCACATATCTTATTCTAATCGCCAAGCCAGTTTTTATGCAACTTACAATGGTAAACAAGCTGACGGCCCACCTGATAGAAAGTGGTAACCATCACCTATAGACATGAACAATACCACAGACATCATCGAACACCCTGTGTTACAATGGCATACGATCTGACGACCCACCTGATGGAAAATGGTAACCATCGCCTAAAGATAAACAGCAGAACATTCACAGAATGCCTACGCTTTGATGGTATCCTTCAAACATTGTTATTTCTAAAAAACTACGCTGTTATGCCTACATATATATAGGCCACACTTTTCTTTCCCGTGGGTGTCATAAGAGGCGACGACGAAGGGAACTTAATAGTCAAAGGATAGGCATCAGCGTCTCTCTTAAAACATCACTGAAACTAATTGCGCTTGTCAATACGACTGCCAGGCAAAGCCATTATTAGCATAAACCCCCCAATAGAGGAAAAGGCATATGTTTCGCAAAGGACAGGTAATGGCTTGATATAAGTATTTCAAACTTTATACTAAATCAAAAATCAATCACTGTCGCTTCACGGCAGAAATACGGGTAGAACAAAGATATCCAAGCAAACGATTATTATACTAGAGGCATTCTATTGATAAACTTAATATACCTAAAGATATTTTAAATCACAAACAATGTAATCTTTCATCAAACTTGGAAACTGTCGGTACACTCATTGGCAAATAGTAACTATTACCTTACAACATGAGCTATGATTAACACACAATACACTGTGATGTCTGCGGTACTGCGCTAAAGACTTTAAGGTGTCGAGTTAAATTAGAAAGTAACTGCAATTGATAAAATTGCTTCTTAAAAAAAAAAAATTAGCAACATGGAAAATAATTCGCCAATGCACAATCGTATAGACCAAGTTTTGTACGCATTACGTAAAAAAAAAACATAGGAACAATAAAAAAACAATCAGAAAAGATGTAAAAATATCTACCTTAGACACAATTTGCTGTATTGCAAGTATACTGTATTGCACATTCGCATAGCAGACGCATTAAAACAATTACACAATAGTATAATATCGCAATGCATAAGCTATAATAATGCACATTATTATTCACTCACCACGCCAACAGCTGTCAGTGCAAAGAGGATGGTTCCAAAAAAGAGCGGGAAAGTGGCAGGCGAGCCCCACAAGTCCAAGGGTTCGTTAGATTTCTTTCCAGACAGCAAATAGTACACCACAATGCCCAGCCCTATGAAGGTCAGCACGTTGGCCAGGGCTGAGAACGGAGCCAGTAACTTCAAACTGGGTATGAGGTTGAACGCCAGCAGTGGTATTAGTATTATCACCATGTGGATTTCGATGCTCATAACGTAATGTGGATCTACAATCTGTAACAAGGAACAAAAACTTGATTAGTCTTATTACATCTGTGGAAAGTACTAAGAAGATATTCATCAGCATCAGCCTTTAACTGTCCACTGCTGAACAGAAGCCTCCCCCTCAGGAGGTTTTGCCAGTGGTTACCACGCTTTGTAGGCGGATTTACAACCGCAGTCAGGGCTTTAGAGGTGTTTTAAGAGGGACGCTACTGCCCCCCTCTCCATCTCTCGCCCTCCCTTAGTCGGTTCTTACGACACCCATAAGATAAAAGGGTGGCCTAGTGATGCCATGATGTAGACTTACAGTACATAAATAATAACATATATAGATAGACATACACAACAAAAATAATACCTATACAGATAAAATAGTACATTACTGCAGCGGCCAACAACTGAGGCATTGATGGACGAACATGCAAATGTGGGCCGAGGCGTAGCCGAGGCACATATACGTAAGTCCATCAATGCCTAGTTGTGGCCAAGGCTTGTATAGTACGTTTCTCAAACAATGCGCGGAAATCAAAAACATAATTTTACTTTTTAAGTTCAATGACGAATAACAGACAATAATAATTGTTCACGCGCCATAATGTTCATTTGTTTTTTTTTTCAATAAACAGCTTTCTATTTGCAAGGCAGTTCGAAATTTAAATAAAACCTTTTATTAGTTACCTCCTTGGTAGCCATGTTTCGAAGTAAAAGGTCATTCCATTTTTAAATTACAGGATAGATATGAGTTTACATAGTAATTTATCTGGCCGCAAAACACGACAGATATGGATTTTCATACAACTTTTGTTGGCCGCTGCCCGCATGCATCTAGCCAGTACGGCAATTTTGATTTATCTCGAAAAAGATTGTCCAAATAATGCTCACATTTCCAAGCATGTTTGAGAAAAGAATATATATAAAAAAAATAACAAAAATTTTCCTTTCGTGCGTGTGCCATAGTAACACACAAAATGGTCACTACTCAGTTTAATGCTTTGCCATCGTAACACAAAATGGTCACTACTCAATTTGCTCTGCCATCAAAAGAACAAAATATTGATTGCTTTCCAATATTATTTTGTTCTCTATATGATTTTATGACTATTAACATCTCAACTTATCTTCTTTATTCTCAGTTGGGGTCAAAGTAATATACGATCTTCACTTCGACTCACCAGGAAAAATCTATATGTTAATGTTATAATTAAATATATAATATATATAATTAACTTAGATTATAAAGACAGAGCATCGAGTCTCAAATATAAAATGGGTCAACATTTTGTCAGCTAACTGTCAAATTACATTACAGAGTATACTGTTTCGCCCATGTTACCACATATGCGTTGCCATTCCTGAGGACTCAGGTGTTATTCCTCTGTACCCTTAGGTGCTCCCGCTCCTAAATGAGTTATCGTTCATAAATTTAAATTAAAAATATACTCAAATAAAGATAAAATAAACTCTACAGATGGCGAGAGGCAGTAGAAATATGCCTGAGACTCGATTGGTACCCAAGTAAACGACAAATCTCCCCATGTGTCACAATCGTTTAGACACAACGTAAAATTGCGTCACCCGTTCAGAGGCGATGACAAAGTGATTAATATTGACATATCGATATTTAAACACGCCACGCTCCTCTCAATTAGAATGAAACCAGAATAGATACGACCACTCGAGCTATTTAACATTTCATTCATATTAAAATTTAATGGTAGAATAACAGCCAATAAATCAAATAACTACAGACAGTTTTATAACCTTGGTGGTATAGCAATTTAACACACTGTCTTTGTCTTTTCAATGATCCGAGTTCGATTCCCGTCGTGTGGTCCCGGCTTAGAATAGGCCACCCCTTCCTTTCCCGTGGGTGTCGTAAGAGGCGATTAAGGAAGGCGAGGGATGGGCAGCAGCGTCTCTCTTAAAACATCTTCAAAGCCTAACTGCGGTTGCTAATTCACCTGCCAAGCGTGTAAAACCCCCAATAGCGGAAGGCCTTTGTTCAATAGTGGCCCATTAACTGCGGGATCCACGTGCCCCCTTCTGGAAAGCATCGTGTTGAATTCCTGGTGTATGCATCACGATAACAGAGTATGCTGTTTCGCACATGATACCCCCCATGCGTTGCCATTCCTGAGGACTCAGGTGTTATTCCTCTGTACCCAGTAAACTCACGCCATATCCCACCCTTCAAACCGAAACGCAGCCATGCAAACACAACTGCTTCTCGGTTGAAACACGAATGGGACAGAGGTACCCAAGCAATCGACTTTTGTACAAAGTTTCCCATCATTGCTAGCAATATACCCTCCACATTGGTTCTCTCTGGAAACCATCGTGCTGAATTCCAAATGTATTCATTACGGTGGGCTAACTGACCTGCCTTTTCATCTTCACCTATCCTATCATTCCTCACTGGTGCCCCGTCAGCGTATATCGTTAGTGCAGGCGGGGTTACCATTCCATTATCATCCATTAAAAAAAACTATACTAGTAGAAAAATATACACATACATATAACATACCTTTTTAATATTGTCTGCTATGAACACAATATAAACACAGCAAATGCCCAACTGGTAAACGACCAGAAACACGTCAACTGTGATGGCTGAAGGTCGTCCTAGTCCACGGAGGGACGAGGGTCCAGCAGACAACGAGGCGCTCATTGACTCGGGGTACGTGAGAAGAGGAACACGGCGCATCTTGCACGCCGCATACTGTGACCGGACCTGGGAAAATAATTTACATTTTTGACATATTCAAGAGGACCGGATGACCATGCTCAACCCAGAAGTGCTAATGGTGATTACAGTTTTCATCTATGAATAAAGAACACATCTAAGAGTACATAATTGCCTTCTGTAAGTAACTTTAACATAAAGACATTAAGTAACTGGTAAGTGAAAAAATTAAATGAAAAAAGTACTTAAGTATTATTTTCTTTTAATGATCATTTTATCTTATACCAGAGGGAGACTTTGTACAAAAGTCGATTGCTTGGGTACCTCTGTCCCATTCGTGTTTCTACCGTGAAGCAGTTGTGTTTGCATGGCTGTGTTCCGGTTTGAAGGGTGGGATATGACAGTGAATTTACAGGGTACAGAGGAATAACATCTGAGTCCTCAGGAATGGCAACGCATGGGGAGTATCATGGGCGAAACAGTATACTCTGTTATGTCCATGGTACTGCTCATGTCTATAGCCAACGGTTACCACTTTCCATCAGGTAGGCCGTCAGCTTGTTTGCCATTCTAAGTTGCATAAAAAAAAAGCTGCTGTTTCTTTAGTCACCTTTTTCGACACCCACAGGAAAAGTAGGGATTATCTATTCTCTGCCGATTATCTATTCTCTACAATTTTTATATTTAGATATAAAGCCAATAGAATTATTAATACTAGGTATGCAATATTAATAGTTGGGCAAATAAATACTTTAAATTTTTTTTTAATACCACTGAGGTGGCAAACAAGCATACGCATACGCATACGCGAGTACGCGAGTAAACTCGCAGGAAATAACTAGATGTTAAATAAATTATTTCCATTGTATTGTTGTATAATTAATTACCACTAAACATATGTTTAATTCCCCCTTCCCTTCCTGATTGTCGCAAGAGGCTTAACGGTCGAAGGGTGGACAGCTGCGTCTCTCGTAAAACATCACTAAATACCAACTTTTTTTTATACAACTTAGAATGGCAAACAAGCTGACGGTCCACTATCAAGAAAGTGGTAACCGTCGCCTATACACACGAGCAGTACCATGGACACAACAGAGTATACTGTTTCGCCCATGATACCCCTCATGCGTTGCCATTCCTGAGGACTCGGATGTTACTCCACTGTACCCTGTAAATTCATGCCATATCCTATCTGCCAAGTGTAGCAAATATTGGCCAAACTCTTTTTTATGGTGGGAGACCTCATCTGTTCAGTAATAAACAATTAACGACTATGATAATGATATATTTAACTATTGATAAATGGTCAAATCAAACTACACTCAATACTTCCAGTCTCGTCCGCATTTGTAGCGTAGGAGATCAATTGAAACATTTTATCTCGCTACATTGTAATTCCTTACAATTGCCTACGTCAAACTGTCACATCACAATTTGCGTCGCGTTTGATTTATTCATAAACAACTCAAAGGGCCCCGTTAAAAGCAACAGGCGAGCTTGTATGAATATTAATGTAACGTGGTGATTGCGAAAGAGGCCTATTTGGATCGGCGTCTGGCATACTATTGTTACTACCTACCCTAAAAAGAGACAAGCATGATTTTTTTTTATACAACTTAGAATGGCAAACAAGCTGACGGCCCATCTGATGGAAAGTGGTAACCGTCGCCTATAGACATGAGCAGTACCATGAACATAACAGATTATACTGTTTCGCCCATGATACCCCCCATGAGTTGCCATTCCTGAGGACTCAGGTGTTATTCCTCTGTACCCAGTAAATTCACGCCATATCCCACCTTTCAAACCGAAACACAGTCATGCAAACACAACTGCTTCACGGTTGAAACACGAATGGGACAGAGGTACCCAAGCAATCAAGTTTTGTACAAGTTTACACTACGACTGTTTTACTTGTCTATGTTATTATTTATTTACTTCAGCCGTTAACTGTCCACTGCTGAACATAAGCCTTCCCCATTTTGCCAGTAGCTACCACGCTTGGCAGGCGAGTTGGCAACCGCAGTTAGGCTTTTACATATGTTTTTTAGAGGGATGCTACTGCTTATCCCACTATGATATGCTCCCTTAGTCGCCCTTTTACGACACCCACGGAAAAGGAAGGGGCGGTCCATTCTATGCCGGAATCTACACGGCGACATTGTCTGTGGTGCGTAAAGTAGGTCCCGGCTATGATTACTGGTCGGGTCGATTTAGGAAATGAACTTGTCTGGACTGATTCCGGTTTGTGTGCTTTGGTTGTAATCCTAGAATCTCATAAGACAGGAAATACTTGAGGACTGATTTGGTTATGCTAGCTTTTAGTCGCGACTTCATCCACGTGACCGGAATATGTTTACTGAGCTAGAGAGAGAAAAATAGCCTCTATCCTTCTCCATCCCATACAGTACGTATACGTCAAATTTCATAGTGATTGGTTAAGCCGTTAAGGCGCTATTAGGTAACAACAAACAAAATCAATTTCTCATTAATAGTTTTAGAAAATATAAAGGGTTTTCTGATAATTTTAATTATTTAAAATAGGTACTAACGAGTACGTGTAGGCAGTGGGTGACAAGGGCCCCCACCAGCACCGTAGATATGATGGCAGTGACAAGGCCAGCCCTCGCGAACGCCTGTGGCATAGCCAGGATGCCTGTGCCTAAACTGCACTTCAGCAGATGCACCAACGTCTCCAAGTTACTGGAAAGAAATACCTCATTATTAATTATAACATAACTATTGAGATATCAATACACATAATATTAATAATAATTCTTTCTTGTTTTTGTCTAATTTATTTTATCATTCCTATTTAAGAGCGGCGCTCTTGTCGGTGGAGCTCTTGCCACTCACAACAATTTTCAACGAGTCTCTACACCACTTGATACGAGACGACATCAACTTTTTCCTTGATCTACCTGATGTAACTATGCCTTGGTCTCCCCCTTCCCCTCCTTCCTTCTATCTTACCTTCTATTATAATGTTCATAAGTTCGTAGTGTCGTATCAAGTGTCCCAAGATTTTTTTTCCTTTCTGATGTCAATAGTTTTTATAATCCGTCTCTTTTCCTTAAACCTATGTACTCGTAAGACCTATCATGTTTGTCCTTTATATAATTACAAACATTGAAAGCTACTAGTACTAAATTACAGAATTTATTACGAATATTCTCTTTTGATTTAAGCGTTTCCTCTTGCAGTGCAACCAACTCATGTATTCTCTTCCAGCTACCTCTATCCCATGCCATATCTTTGACCTCCTTATACGACATGACACCTAGTGTTTCCTTGATCTGTCTAATGTAGTTATTTCTCGGTCTTACCTTTCCTCTTTTGCCCTATATTTTTTCTTCTAGTGTGCTCTTTAAAAATCGTCATGTCGTATAAGTTACAAATATGAATTTCCAACTGGTGAACTACTATATTTTAGAGATGAACTATATAGTACAGTATAGTAACTATACAGTGCATACTGTGTAATTCCTCTCACAAACTAATATCAGTTACCCACTCCAATGAAAATAATTAGCTATGCCACAATCGAAGTCAATTTTTTTTATGTACACAATCTTAAATTATTGATAAAAATTTTGTAATTCTAATAAAAAAAAAATTAAAGAAAAAAACACTCACTTTGTAGGTGCCGTGACTTGTCGGTAGAGATGTGGATCGTAATCTTCATTATTGGAGCCATCCCTGGTAACAAATTGGACATTATAAAATGTACATTTTGAACTTTCTTATAAAGAGAAATATAAAGTTATAGGCACTACTGTACTACGCTACCTACACCAATATTTTATGATACATAAAAATTAAAACTACCCACTAACACTCCGGTAATAGAAAACACTGTTAACAAACCACATTAACCCAAACAACGGCGGTAGGTTTATGTGTCGAATTACGTTGTATTCAAATTTTTTTTTACAACTTAGAATGGCAGTCAAGCTGACGGTCCACTTGATGGAAAGTGGTAACCGTCGCCTATAGACATGAGAAGTACCATGGACATAACAGAGTTTACTGTTTCTCCCATGATACCCCCCATGCGTTGCCATTCCTGAGGACTCAGGTGTTATTCCTCTGTACCCTGTAAATTCACGCCATATCCCTCCCTTCAAACCGAAACAAAGCCATGCAAACACAACTGCTTTACGGTTGAAACACGAATGGGACAGAGGTATCCAAGCAATCGACTTTTGTACAAAGTCTCCCTCTGCTCCCTCAAATATGCTCAGCAAAGTGCAGGCTTCTTTAGTATTACATTCACTGCAATGATATTAGTCGAATATAGCCCTGACTTAATGGCCGAGGGATGGGCAGCAGCGTCCCTCTTAAAACATTATTAAAAGCCTAACTGCAGTTGCCAACCCGCCTGCCAAGCGTGGCAAGTATTAGCAATACTCCCCTTATAGGAAAGGTCTATGTTCAGCGGACAGTAATGGCTGATACGATGATACTAGCCATGTGTTGCCAGTATAGAATAGGCTACCCCTTCCTTTCCCAAGAGTTTCGTAAGAGGCGACTAAGGGATCGGCAGCATAGTCCCTCTTAAAACATCTCCAAAGCTTAACTGCGGTTGCAAATCCGCCTACCAAACGTGGTAACCACTGGCAAAACCCTCCAAGGAAGAGGCTTATCTTCAGCAGTGGACGGTTAAAGGTCGAGATATGATGGTAATGATGATATGATGATAGTTTAGACTATTCCAACAGTGATTATAGTATTTTTTTTTTCATTTTACACCAACAGTTATGTGAAGTAACATGATTTTTACTAATAATCTCGCTATTCAAAATTTGAGATACGCAATTAATAAAAGCATATATATGTTCCAAGTGATCGAAACTGACAGTAGCCACTTTCCATCAAGACACCATTTCGTTAGCTCCCGTGTCTATCTGCTAATAAAAAAAATATATATATATTTGCTCGCTCACTTGTTTGCTTCTAGCGAGTCCGGCTGCGTCACCGACTGTAGACACACCGTCTCGGACTTGCCCCGCTCCTCCATTTCAAACTGTAACAATAAATCATTTATAATTTCTAAATTTAAAATACGAATATAAAGAACTGGCCGTAACTATTTATCTTCACAGATTTTGCCGCGTAAATTAGATAAAAGAAAATTCCCATTTATTAACCTCGAATACATTATACATACATCGAAGGGCTTTTCAGTAATACGAACTACTAGTCGCGTTACTAGCTATATACCCTATCAGGTCGACCTCCAAGTGATCCCCCTGGAAACCATCATGTTGAATTCCAAGTGTATTCATCACGATGGGCTAACTGACCTGCGTTTTCATTCTCACTTATGATCTTTCACTGGTGCCCTGCTAGCGAATGCCGATAGCGCAGACGGGGTAACCATTTCATTGTCATCCATTAAAAAAAAAACCTTGAATATATTGTATGATTATAGATGGATAAAAGGTACCTGTTAATCTAGGATCTAATATAATGAATAATAATATAAGGAACTAATATACTGAAGCGGAAAAAACTTCTTTGAACACGCTAATCTCTGAAACTATCAGTTGAACTTGAAAGATCCATCTTACATTTATTTCCATTGGTGAACTAACAGAAGAACAGAATGGGCGTCTCACCCCGAATCTCTGTTCTTGGGGAACCTTTGACCGCCTCCATTTTCCTTACCCATATTCTATGTACACTTTATTTCAGTCTAATTTAAACTTCACTTGCAAGATTTTAACTAAATGTTAATTTAGTTCAAATCTCGCAAGTTTCATGTTTATAAACACTTATACAAATATGAACTTATTAAAAAGCTTGTAAAATTAAATCAACTTCTTGAACTGGTGACCTCATTTGCCGTCAACCTCTGCGTGCTTAGTCCGCCATTGGATAGCTCATTTCTTGAGAAAGAACATTTGTCATAGAATAACACACACCTGACACGTCCAAACTGTACAATCTTGCACATTTATGATATTAATAGAACGTAATAAATTATTTTTTAATGGGTGAAAATTGGATGGTAACCCCGCCTGCGCTATCGATATACACTGATGCGGTACCAGTGAGAGGCAATAGGTAAAGATGAAAAGGCAGGTCAGTTAGCCCATCGTGACGAATTCAACGATAAATTAGTCACGATAGTTTCCAGGGGGAACCGCATGGAGGTTGACCTGATAGGGTATATTGATAGCAATGGGGACCAACCTCTCCATTACTAACAATCCCTTTCCCTCCCCCACCTCCACATAATTAAATTATCCATACGGTGACAATATCTCCATGTGATCCCGGTATAGTATTCTATAGACCACTCATTTCTTTCCCGTAGATGTCATAAGAGGCAATTAAGAAAACTTAATGGTAGACAGATGAGCAACAGTGTCTCTTTTAAAACATTACTAAAAGCCTAATGACAGTTGCCAACACGCCTGGCAAGCGTAGCAGCTACTGGCAAAAATTCTCCTTATGGGGAAAGCTTATATCCAGCAGTGGACATTTAACAGCTGATATGATGACGACGATTTGGCGATAATATACTATGAAAACTAAGATTTAAGGTTTACTTTTGTCCTCAGGAAATCACGAGTTGACTGGAGAAACAAAACATAATACTTATACGAGAGAGGAAACCTTGAAATATGTCTCTACCAGCATCGTTTAGTTTTATAATAAAACGAGTCTCATTTTACAAGAAAAGTTCCGTGCCCATCAGATTCGACACTTCCCACCTTTACATTACCCCACAACAGCTGACACTAGAATCGGACAACGCTCGACTGTGATCCAAGGATCTTAAAATCCGATCCAAGCCAAAAGTTCGGAATTGTTTAAATTCATATTTGGACCGTTTAAAAATGATTATCACTTGTGTTATACTACGAGAGCACATAAACTATTCTTTTGTATAATAAATTAGCTGTGTCCCACCGCTTCGTCCATGATCGTATCAGGATATTCAAACTTCCTCGAGAAATAAGTTATTAAATGAAAAAATATTATTTCAAATCCGACTAATAGTTTCTAATATTGGCCCGTTCAAACAAGCAAATTCTTCTACTTTCGCTTTGTACTTGTATATTTGAATAGCTTTACATATACTAAAAACTCTTATAACTAGAAAGCGATCCCCTGACATGATTATGGCAGGGTATTGTCTTCAGATTAAGTTATATTTATGCAACTCCGACGTGACCCCCCTCTAGATAGAGTGACGACCACAAATGCATTGAAAGGAGACACTGGATGCTGGTAGCTCAGGATCGTTCCTTATGACAGTCCATTGGGGAGGCCTATGTCCAGCAGTGGATAGATTTGCTGAAATGATAATGATGTAACATAGAATGGCAAACAAGCTACCGGCCCACCTGATAGAGAGAAAATATTTAATGACTATATCCAATCGATTGACATATAATTCTAACGACTTACCTGCCAAAACTACAGTAGAATAAAAAAAAATCGTTTTAAAAGAGCTTTCTTATAAACCTACTTGAATTAAGTTTACTTTGATTTTTATTTTTAATTTCACCTATGATCTTCTGTAACACTGTATTTCATTCCTAGATGTATATACTGTACACTAGTCACGTCGAACGGAGGCGTCATATGGCAACTATCTCAATCGGTTTAATGCCTCGATGGGCCACATCCTGATACCAGCGAGCACCCACGCCTCTGCAACTCGGATGTCAACAACGAGACTAACTTAAAAATAGTCCGTGGGTACCAGCTATTTCGGCGTCCATAATGCTCATGTGACGTAAACACAATATTTTCTTTTCGGAACGCATCGGGTTTAAAATCTTTTGAGAAATTCGAATGCATGATTCAATCGCGTAATGTATTTGTAATCTAAATATCTACTGCCTGATTACTTAGGTCATAAAGACCTACGTACATTCTCATTGACGTTAGAAGATGTACTAGTATATGTAACACAAGGAACCTTGGCTTTTTTTAATTTGGGAAATCAGTTTGAGCAGAGACAACTATAGAGTTTGCGGGAAACGACACATGAAGCTAATCCGATACTCTGAACAGTATGCATATTTTTTACCGACTTAAAAAAGATCTGAAAGGATACGCATATAGATTGGACTCACAGAAATTTTATTAGTAGGTTTAGTAGTTTAGTTTTTAAATCAAAATTTTCTGGTCTTTTCTCAATTGAAGTTTCTTTTTATTGTGGAATACAATTATTAATTTTTGCATCACTTGTAGACAATGGGTCCATATTAGCAATGAAAATCTGCGCTGCAAAAAGTTCTATATTTGCATAAGGAATTGCTATTATTATTAAACAAATATATATTCATATAGGAATGACCTATTTCAACCGTCATGTGTTCATAAATACTAAGGGTTCTTGGTTCGAATCCAGGTTAGTTTATTTAACACGCGTTATAGCTTCCAAATTACAAATTTTCAAAAACATTACCTGAACTATTGTGAGCGTTAAGGAAAATTTACAAAGTAGAATCACCACTTCTCTGATGATGCAATTTTATTACTAAAGTGCAGCATTTATTATAATTTATTCTTCAAACATCTTTAGTTTTGCTAAATTCAATTTCGTTGTTGCATTCGTGGTCTTATAGAACCCAATGCACGCTGCAAGCATAAAATTTCTACCTAATAAAAAACATAGTCGCTTCTCGCCGTCTGTAAGCTTATATCTTTTCAAATACGCAAATCCGTTGCGAATCTAAGCTTACATACTTACTTAGTTACTTTTGATAATGCTTCATTAAAAGATAGAGTAATTCAAGAGGAAAATTTATATGTACAGTATAATATTGTTTTGCATTAGTTTGTTAAAATTAGACGATAATTACAAGATGTCGGAAGAAATCAAGTCGACTGAGAGATTTCATCGAAAATGCTAAAATATAACAAAATAATGTATAATGGAATTGTTCCCCTTGATTAGAACTACAAAAAAATTGGTATTCTTTATTATACAGATAGCTTTATATAATCATTTTTTAAAAAAAATATGCATATTATCTGAAATTTGGAAAGCTATTTAAATGGATACAATAGTAATATTATAAATAACTACATACTGACACTACATCGTTTCTACATTGCCCCCGCGCAAAGCCAGGGCGGGTTGGTAGTAAGCAATAAGTAAATACCACAAGCGGGACCATGAAATACCAAAAAGGTCCTTGACGCCACATCTCTGTAACAGGTTTTGCTAATCATGTACAGTCGATACTGCACGACACGAAGTTTCAGCCGAAAAAAACATCCCGAATGATAACGCATAATTAACTATGTAAAATGAAGTGTAGTTAAAGTAAAAAGAGTAAAGGCAAAAAATACTATTTCGATAATCATAACTATTAAACTTGTACACTTTTAAAGTATGGCAATAATCATAATTATTAATGATGCACCGCCTACTTATTTCTCGGTTTGCCCAATGGTTGACTGGTAGAGAACATCGTCCGGTGTTAAGTCCACCAAATGTACATAGTTTTACTGTGCATTAAAATAAAATAAATAAAATATTAATTTATCTTAAACTATACTCGATTTACTCGTATTGTTATTTAAACTTTTAAATATTATATAACTATGTGTGTATATGTATTTTAATGTGTTTGTATTGTATCTGCTACGGCTAACAACTTTTGTGTTCTCCGTTTGTATGTATTATCATAAAATGTTTCACGCCAGGGAGGGGTCCTGGTGCCTTGTGATACGGGTTCTTTGGATACCCAGTTCAGGCACCAGTTCTCTACAACTTTGATGTATCTATGGTATTATTTTAAATGTTTCATTGTACTCAAGAAAGTTGTGATATAAAATAAATAAACATTATTATAAATTTGAATTGTTGCAATAATACATCATTATTATTACCATATTGAATAGAATAATTCAAAAATAAATAAATAAATAAATCAATGCAAACAACAACGACCTAACCTACTTTGTTGGGGGGAAAGGGATTTTTAGTAATGGAGACTAAGAATCCCATTGCTAGCAATATACTCTCTTAGGTCGACCTCCACGCGGTTCCCC